CGTCTACGAGGCATCCTCTGTGTCTGGTGACTAGACGTGTCAGCTCCTCAAACTGAGTCATGTACATACCCATCGCTGGTCTGCACATGTACCAAATTACATCCAAATCGGACCATTACTTCTGGGTGCTTAACGTTTTTCTTTTTGTCACTGAGTGTATGTGTTGTGAATGCTCTGTTAGTTTTAGCTTTTACAAAAAACCCCATATTAATGAAATACTGAGCTGTTGGATGTTGGAGGTTTGCAGCCCTGTCTCCAACCATTCTACACTCCTTTATCTTATAGTGCTTTACTCATTTTCAGTGTCAGGTCAGATGGGGGCAATAATTAAGTTTGTACAGACTGAATCCCTGTGTATTCACTACCAAAGATAGCCTTAAATGGTGTTAAAGACCCACCGTTTTCTTCTTCTATTATCAGCCAATAAGAATTGCCATCATAGTGTTAGCAGATAAAAATCTTATCTTGTATTTGATTTAATCATCCTTTTGGTAATTCTCAGTTATGCAAGTGTTCTGTATTACTTTGACTTATGGAGTGCTCCAGCATTTGCTGTCCACTTTGGGTGCGTGTGTGTGTGTGTGTGTGTGTGTGTGTGTTTGTGTGTGTTTTCTATTAATGGTTTTTTTTCCTCCTGTGCCCCTCCCACCCGGAAGAGGCCACACCGACACCTGCCTGCTATCAGGGAGAAGTGATGCACCTGTTGCAGGAATTTGCCAAGAACAGACAACAGGAGCAGAGGCTTAGGGCACCAGACCTGGAGTATCTGGACACTGGAAATCAGTGATACATCTGGCTTTAGTTCTGCTCTGGCTGCACCGATTTCATTTCTCCACCCATTGGATACATTTGCATGTCTGTTAGATGAGACACAACATTGCAGCCTCCATAATGTCACCAGTTGAGCCTCTGCAGCTAGGGAGATATTAAAAGCGTTTGCGTGTACATGAAATATTTATACAGTAGATTAGTAAAGCTCAATATATGTCTGGCCAGATCAGTAGCATTTAACTGTCTCTTGGGCCTGTCTACACCAGTAAGAGGGAATCATATGAAGACCAGAGATTAATGTCAGTCACCAGTAGAGTTAAGGCGTCCAACCCATGGGGAGGATCTGTGCTTTTCTTTACCACTGCATCACTTTCCAGTTCGGTAAAACCAGTGAGCAGATCTCAGAAAAGCAAAGTGATTGGTCCCAGTGAGGCTTGTACGCCGAGGTGCTGTCACTGGTGCTGGGAAGTCATATGCTAATCTTTGTGCTTTCTGCTATGATGCAGTGTCTGATGGAGAATAACTACTTGACGTAGATATACATAGATCATCGGCTTTAATGGTTACGACTTAAACCTGTCAGATAATTAAATTAAATTAAATTAAATTAAGTGGAAAGAGTTTTGCTCAAAATTTCTGACTTCAGCATTTCAAAATAAATGTATATAGAAGCAGCGCCACCTAGAGGCAGGATGTTATTCTTTGCTCTGAGTCACGACGCACCGCTGTCCAGGAATAAAGACTCGAGGAAGGAATCATGTCACAGAGCCATGGAGAAATGTGCGTGTTTTAAAGCTTTCTCTTGGTCAACTGCTTTCTGCTCACTAATTTTGTTTTTAGTCAATATTTGGGAACCGGTGTTGCATAATAGCAAAATATGCTAGGCGAAGCAAACCGTACTGTCTATGGAAGGAAATTAGCCCCAAACAGCTGATTTTATTACTTGCAAAGATATGAGCATTACTTGGTGAGGAGTTCTACTATAATCAAGGTGGATTTTCTCATTCAATAACTGCAAGTGATGACCACTGGAGGGCAGTAAAATCCTGCAGTAGAACAGTATATATGGCGCGAACTTAAAGGGTTTTTGACCAAATTGACCTCAACTGGCAGGGGTACTGTAAAGGCGGGGGGAGTTAGGACAATTCCACACAGGGGCCCTAAAAAATTTGGAATATAATTGCATTGGTATTGGTTGGGGGCCCATATGATGTGCTTCCTTGGGCCCCTGATATCTCTAGCATAACCCCTATCAACAGGTAAATTTACCATGGGCACCCCAACAACTGCTAATGTGTATCATTTTTCTAACAAAAATCAATATTTTTCTTGCTGCAGGTACCATAAGTAAATAAATAATGTTATTTGGTACCATACTTTGTAAATATTATTCCCAAACAATAATGTATTCATTGAGTCCACAGGTGATAATCTTTATTGATACAACACTTGTAGAAATTGTAAGGTCTGCAATTTAAATACCAGATGAAAATTCTTTATATGTAATTACTTAGGTACATTTATGTGCCCTTTCCATGTCAGTCTATATACTGTATGCACTTTACACTTCTGTCATTCTCATTTTGTTCCTCAGTTAATTTTTCTCATTCTCTGTTTCAAATTATTGCCCTCCCCCAGCCATTCTCTCCATCTGTCCTCCAAGGCTGCAGACCATCAGAGCCTGTCTCTGCCTAACAGCTGCTGACAGAGAGAAGCTTCCTACCTATCTCTATCTCCCAGACATATCATGTCAGCTCTGTGGCACTGGGCTTTTCCTCCACAGACAGCAGCGTTGAGATGCCTGGGGAAAGGGGAGGGGGGCCATCTAGGGCCACAGTTTATTGCAGACACATAACGGGGGGGCGGCTGCCATAGAGCACTGCAGTCACTGCTTCACTGCTTGATATGGCTGTTTGGCTGCATGTCACTGAATGTGCGTCTTCAGAAAAGTGTGTGTTTCTGTTGGTTCGTCGACATGTTCTCCTTGACTCCAGGAACACTTGCTTGTTCCCACTTTGATATGTGAAGTATAAATGGAAATTCAAAAGCTTTTGTTACGGAACGTAAAGATTTATAAATCTCAATAGCACAAAAAGCATCAGGTTTAGATATCCTGCACTTATACTAGAAACCCTTGTTATTGTAGAAATCCAAATAAATGAGAAATACGTTGTAAGTATCTGATACATGTCTGATATAGTGAGGCTTCAGCAAAGTGTAACTCGGGACGGGAGAGGTATGGGGGAAGCTCTGCATTTCCTTAAATAGCCCTGAGTGATGTAATCAGGGGTCTCCCACAGAGTGAATTGTACGCAGCCTTCTGTTGTAGTTGGGAAGGACACCACCTCACTGCCCCGGCACCTGGCCACTGCACGCCCAGCAATCTTTCCATCCTGTGAACCTCCATGGCCCCCAATGTGTGCTCCTCCCCACTGGCTCTGTTTCCTATCTCTCTACCAGTGTATTTGCATGTCAGATCCGTGCTCGATGTCAATACCTGATGGTATGCCGATCCTCTGATCTGCTGTGGATTTAACTCTGGGGCTCAGCCCTCATGCCATCCATCGTCCAACCTGCTTATCCTACTGGGTTGCGGGGGGGTCCGGAGCCTATCCCGGAAGCAAAGGGCACAAGGCAGGGAACAACCCTGGACAGGGGGGCCAGCCCATCGCAGGGCACACTCACACACCATTCACACCTATGGGCAATTTTAGCAGTTCCAATTAGCCTCAGCATGTCTTTGGACTGTGGGAGGTAACCAGCATACCCAGAGGAAACCCCACAACAACACATGGAGAACATGCAAACTCCACACACATGTAACCCAGGCAGAGACTCGAACCCAGGTCCCAGAGGTGTGAAGCAACAGTGCTAACCACCATGCCGCCCCCCCCCATGCCATTAATGCTTAAATCGAAACTGAATGCCTCTGAACTCCCCCCTGTCCGTTCTGTCTGGAGAATATTGCACTTTCCCATTCATTTGTAAAAAATTCAGTGTTCCACTCCCAGGCCTCACCTCTCTGTCCCTTTCATTCTCGCCTTCGATTTATCCCCAAGGAAATGCAAAGCGCAAAAAAAGAGACAGTCACTCAAATGCTCCGCCAATGTATCCTAAACTCAAATTGCTTTCCATTGGTTCAGATGGAGGCACAGGTGGGTTTTGTATCCCACAGGTCATGAAGACCAGGTTCAGACGCAAACGAAAGAGAGAATCATCCACAGTCATGCCAGTTTACAGAAGTGATCACACTGCACTCAGCTGGGGAGTGAAGTCTGCTAAATGCAGCACCTGTCTCACTGCGATATCAAAGTCAGTTAATTAATTTTTATTATTATTTCGTCAGAAACATGCTCACATGCATTTCCCGCAATGCGGCTTTAATAAGCCTGAATATTTCAGCTGCAGCATGATTTTTTCTTGAATGTATGTCAGAAACGCCCATGGTTGTATTTTGAAGTGCTCCGGTGATACTGGGGTGAAAGCCCTGTGTTCGGTGAAATCTCAGCTGCATCCTCAGCAACTTTAATCTTGCTTCTTCTACACGCGTATCCCTGCGCAGACTTATCAATAATCCATTTAATGTACTCGTATCCATTCACACAAGTGCACACTCAGAAGAGCTCTGAATCATATTCCCCACCGGCAGAAAAATCAAAAACCCTCGGTATATTCAGCCTGCCGCAAGATTCAGTGCGGAGGGTTAATGTTTACAGCAACGGTAACAGGAGGTAAGAAATAAAGAGTCAGTATTGGCTAATGGGGAAATCAGTGTTACATTGTTGTCATGCACATAAACACTGACACTCTAGAACATCAGATCTGTAGGCAATTTATTTGTGTCTATTTTTAATTGATTTTGGCAGATTCAACGTCCATATGCATTTGGTATACAGACAGTTGTTTAATTGGAGCAAAGAATTAACGCACCATATGTTCTGTCTAAACAGACATGATTAGTTTATTTGTGTATTAATTTATTAATTGATGCATATCAAACACAAAGTATGGCTTAATTGTGTATTTTATACACTCATCTTCTAGCCACTTATCCAGTACAGAACTGCAGTAAGCCTAGATCCTGCCCCAGAAGGGTGCACAGCGGGGGTTACCCCAGACAGTATGTCATGGCATGCATCATGGGCATTTAAGAGACTCTAATTTCCCTGCCCAGCTGTTTTTGGATTTGGACTTCAGCGGGAAACTGGAATACCCGGGGGAAGCCCGAACGGCATCAACTCCTCACACATAGGGTGGGGTTAAGATTCAAACCCCCAGCTGCATCAGGCAACTGTGCTACTCACTCAACCACTGTGTCTCTCTTCTGTCTATTCTGTTGGTTCAGGCTTTATTCATTCAGAACTGAAGGTTTGTCTTCTGTTATGTATCTATGTGCTTATAGAGATGAAATGTGCAAATGTCGGGATAACTGGGCACAGCTGGTGCTATGCTTGTGGTAGTGGAATGTATAGCACCTCACCTGAGTTACTGCAGTTAGCCTCCAGTTTTTATAAAAACTGTAAACACTTAGTTTCCTTGAAAATAATAACAATTATGCATCCCTAGCTAGCATGCAGAGACATGCATGCTTAAATGTCCCCAAAATCCCAATCAAAAAGGCTTCACACTCATATTGTAAAAATGATTCTTTAATGTAGAACAAAATCAGAGCTCAGCTCCATAGCGACCCCTGCTCAAGCCGCCCATCATACCCAGTCCCACCAAAAGGAAGGACTGGGGGGAAAATCAACCAATAAGATCACAGTCTGCTCGGCTAAAATAAAAAAACAGGAGAGGCGAAAAACCCAGAATGTACCATCAAAACACTGCTGGGTTGGGCTTGATGACAACACCCCTCCCCCATGCATCACACATATCCATATGCATGAATACACAGGGACACACCCATCTGGTTCTCCTAGAGCAGTGTTTCCCATCCTGGTCTTCAGGGACCCCCCAGCCGGTCAACATTTTTTCTCCCTCCCAGCTCCCTGCCAGACAGTTCACATTTTTGCTCCCTCCCAGCTCCCTGCCAGACAGTTCACATTTTTGCTCCCTCCCAGCTCCCTGCCAGACAGTTCACATTTTTGCTCCCTCCCAGCTCCCCACTAGGGACCTGCGAGGAACCAAAAACATGGACTGTCTGCGGAACCCCAAGGACCAGGTTGGGAAACGATGTCCTAGAGTCTAGATGTCCTCCAGCCTTACAGCTGCCACCAGCTCTTCCTGCTTGAGGCACAGGTCGGTTGGAGGAAGGGCCCAAAAGTCAGGACTAGCAGCCAGCCGGGGAAGACCAGCCAAGGGACAGAAAACACCAGAAAGCCCAGCGAGAGGCAGAGGAACATGCTACCAGTGCAGACAAGGGGCAAAGGAAGGTCACGGGCATTGAAATGAAACAGAGAATTCTGTAAGGCTAGAAGCAACATCAGCCAGCTTGCTTCCCTAATGACTGCCGGCCAGTGACATTATATAGCACATCTCAACGCTTTTTATATTACATCATTTGAATGGAATGTCTCAAGATATTGGTTTTTTTTTTGGACACAAAGAATAGTCATATGGGGAAGGGGAGTTTTGTATTGCCCACCCAGCAAGAACCCATTACTCTACTGAAGCCACACAAACATCAACAATCACATACAAACACTTACAACATATAAAAGATGGCACTGGAAGTTCTAAAGGGGTGCGGGAGATGCTCTGCCCGTATGGCTGCCCCCCACCCAGTCCACAAATCAAATAAGCTCGGTGAGATAGTGGAGTGGAACACTGCCAGAAACAAATACGCAGTCTACTAAACAAAGACAAAGACAGTCTATTGAACATACACAGCCATGTGGACGGACAGACTGCTTATCCCGTGTGTGCGAGGTGGCAGGAGCCCAGCTGGAAACTGCTATGTGTCTCAAGAAACTGGGACTGTGGCCAGTCCATTTCAGAGAATGGCTGCTCTCTGTATCAACCCCCATGGGACCCATCTATAATACGACACGCACCCTTCTCCATAAAAAAAAATGAGCGAGACAGGTGCACACACGTGTAAATATATGTGTAGGGCTACTAATGGTATGAAGCGTAGCCGGCACAGCTATCCGTGGTGATATACGTTTGGCCCTGAAGGATCTTCATTAGGATGGAAAAGATATTAGGACATTGTTCAAGCAGGCCTGTGGACAATGTGTTATCTTTAGGAATGCAACTCACCATTCATGAGTTTGAGTTCATAGAGTCAAAGCCATAACTCAATATTCAGAAGGTAAAAGTAGATTTATGTTTTAGGGGATGGTACAATGACATTTAAACCACAAGTATTTAGGAAGAGACTTAAAATATGTTTATATTACAGTACATAACTGACAGACAAAATGAAAAACATTTCTGCGGAGGTTTCTGTGTGTCCTTGATCTGAGGGAGACAATTTTTTATTTGTAGGTTGCAATAGGTCAAGCTTCTAGCCTGTGCTGATGAATGGATGGAGCCCCTCATTGGCCCCATTTGATAGCCCACACACAGTCGCACCTTTATTGGTCACTGGTTTGCACAGATGTGGCACCTGCTCCTCTAACGAGGCAAGATGCACGTTGCCTAAAGAGAACCATATGCGAAAGGGAATAAAAAAACTATATAAGAGAGTCAATATGAATATGCATGAAAAGTCTGATGTAAGTATTGCTTTTTACATGATGTACTTTTCTGAAGAAGTAATTAATGGTGAGAAAAGGAGGGAGGGAGAGGAGGAGGGAGAGAGGGCGTGTCAGCTTAGGTCAGTAGCGCTGCCCACTCGTGCAAACATGCTACCCAGCACACTGACACAATGGTAGAGGAGCTACAGGACTGGCAGAAGCACAAACCGAGTGACAGATGAACAGAAAGACAGACTGAATCCACCCTCATCACGGCGCCGCCCTCGGATCCATCGCACTCTCCTGGACGCCAGAGCTGGCCGCGTCTCTTGGTGAAACAAAACAAGAAAGGAAACAAACGATGCACCTTGGATGCTACCAGGTGACTCAAAAAGCCAAAGAAAAAGAATGTCTACTATAAAAAGGACCTTTGCCATTGGGTCTTGGAGGATACAGAAGCACGTTCCCAAAACCTGCTTTTTAACAGTTCTACTCTTCTGCTTTTGCTCTACCAAGTAAATACTATTCACCTTTACCAGGCATCTAAAATCTATACAGTACTGTCCTTTTTAAAGTTTCTTTCTTTATATATATATATATATATATATTTATATATATTTATACACTGTACAAAGTTGGCATAAAATAAATAAAAATACATCAAATTAGATCTTACACATCACAATCGTGTGTTGAAAGCCAGAGCAGTCTGTTAGGCAGGTGCAGCAGTGGTTTGGAGAAGGGGAGAGAGAACTAAACCAGCTCCTTAGGTGCCACAGAATAAACACACACATATACTTTGGATATCTTTCAGGCAATTTCTCATTGATGCTTCTTCTGTTTGCTATTTATTAATATTTCTTTGAAACTGGTCAACTGATTGCTTCGCCAAATATAAAAGATTTGCGTATAAGAATCCCTGAATGTAGCAGCACATCTGAGGTGAGCTCCCATTTTCCCACATGACATTTCTTAACCTTGCCCCTGGAAAGGGACTGATGTTTCTGCTCGTGTTTGTACTGGGTGCCACTTGCTGAAACAAACAGCACTAGTGCCAAGTCCTAAAGTGAGTAGTATGTTTCCATTTAAAGCTGAATGAATTTGCACTTAAACAGCATCCCACCCCTTTCCCTGCTGTGGTGGGCGGTAGGATCAGCCAGACTATAGCCTGCATCGAAATCTGCCACCTTCCCAGCCCTCCCCTAACATTTACAAGCCCCGCCCACCGATCAGACCTTCGCCAGATCCTGGGAGGCAGCATATGGGTGACTGGAAGGAGAGGCTATAAGAACAGCCGTACAGAGCAGCCAGCCTACCTTTAAAAGCAGAATAATTTTAGAAAGAGTCACTTTGAGCAGACTGGTGTCTGGACTTTATGTTCTGACACCAGGGCTTGGTTTTCCACACAGAATTAGACAATTTCCATATCACTAGGGAAACAAGTATTGTAGTGGATAATAAACTGAGCTATTAATCGTCTCTCGGCAGATGCAATGTTTGCATAATGATAAATATGGGCAAACTATGCTGTCTATTCAGGTGTCCAACAGAGAGATACAGAAGTACAAAAAACACAGCCCCCTTACGGCAAACAAACACTGGGACGTTATGATTCTGCTCAGTGCGGCTGGCTTAATGACTTGTGACAGTAGTGTGATGTGCGAGAGAAGTGGTGGACCTTCTCTCCCAGCACTGGACATGCTGACTGCATCTGCTAATTGTGTGTCCCGGCAGCCGCCGTCTCGCTCACACTCTTCCCATGTGAACGGGCATGTCCATGCAGGCCTCATTCCCAGGAGGGGCCGAGCTAGGCCGGAGGCCTGAGACCTTGCGGGATAAAAATCCCAGGAGGGAGGCATGGGGCTACTGAACCCAACCTGTGGTCATGGTGAGACATCCACTGTTGAAGAGCATGCCGAACAGGCGAGACCAGCCACGGGCCCACAATGGTGCCTCGCGGCGCCCCCTGGTGGACACTGGAAAAAGTAAGTAGCATCACCTGAGAAATCCCTCAGCCTCAAACACAGAGCCCTCCAGCCTCCGTAGTACCTGATCATCCTAATCAAATGTCATGGATCAAGGCATGGTTTGGGTGCCTTGGATGTACTCCTTATGAAATATTGGTCACTTTATCAATAAATATTTAGGAATAGTTGTAGATTCGGAGGTGTAGCGCTAGGTCTCTCCCCCCAGCTCCCAACCCCACGCCATCCCTAAAAAACACAAAAACATCAAACGCCCTTATTCAAGAAGGGCTTTTATAATCATCAGCACTATCACCAGGATCAGTATTGTTTTCTTCATCATTTAGAGTGACAAAACCAAAATGTAGTATACAACAAATAGTCATCGATTCCCCTCAACAATCTGTACAGAAAAAGGTCTGGTCTCTGGTCTGACCAGGAGGAAGAACACCAACTGCACACACACACACACGCACACACACACGCGCACACACACACAGTCATATGTAAACACAACATTATTGTTATTACTCTTGTTACTGTCATTCATATTTAAATCCTTCTTATTTCAAGCGATGCTTAATTCAACCCAATGAGGGAAGAAGTCACATCTGGATGCATCGCATGCGTAAAACAATGACTGGGCTGATCTGACAGAGGTGGAGTCTGACTGGGTGGGCGAGGCCAGAGACTACATGCCTGACAGACACGTTGGCTTGCCACTGAAAACGAACCCTGCTTAACACACTGATCCTGTCCTATCTCGCATGTCCAAAAGCAGGGGTGTAGGAACCAGGGGGACAGGGGGCATGTGTACCTCCAATATTTGGCTTCATTCATCCCTCCACAAAATGTAGACTTTTACATTTAAATTATTATGTAGTGTCTCCCCCCGTATCAAAGCCTTTCCTACGCACTTGTCCATACAAGCTGTTGACTGAAGACAGGAGAGGATCGGCAGCGAGACTGAGCCTTGCAGAAGGTTAAAGACCAAACTGTGCATTAATGACCATCCAGCAGGAGAGCACCAGGTATGACAGGTGGAACTGGTATCTGCCTGGAGTGAATGACAGACTTGGGTACAGGCTGGCAGATTTGCTGCTGAAATGGAATAAGGATTAACACAAAGTTTTGGGCTGGAAATGAACAGATCGGTTATAACTGGCTGCTGTTTCAACGGTGCTTCTCATTTCCTGACTTCCTTTCTCTCTCTCCTCCTCACCTGTCGTTTTGCCATGATCTACTTTAGAAGTTACTTTTGCCAGTCATGCACGTGTGCAGAAAACACACACGCAAATAACCTGTCAACTTGATTCATGCAAACCTGAATCAAATCAATGATTTCTGTGTATCTCAGTTTAAAGGCAGCATGTCTATTCACACAAAGAGCAATCGAGGCACCAGTTACTTGGGGGTCTTGTCATTACGCAGCCAGCATGATGCAATCACCCGGAAATACCTACGCTGGATTCTGCAGTAGACAACATTAATATACCATGGTATTTCTGTGCTGTTTTACTAGCTGGGTCCTGCCCCCTTTGCATACAGTATGGAAAAGATCTTAAAAGCAAATAGACACTGATATCTATCCATATCTGTAAGTTTTCCTTCCAACTGAACTGGCCTCCCTGAAATGTCACAGGGATCAGAAACGACACATCAGTCCAAACAGCACAATTTGTAACAGATCTGCCACAGAGGCAGTATCCCTCTGCTCTGACAGGCAGCGAAAGGCTCCACCGAGCATCTGATGAGCATGGCCATCATGTGCTATCAAACCGCTCACTGACCCGACCCAGACAGTGAGCCGCATGGGAGGAGGGGGGGGGGCACATCCACTGCTGTAGGTTAGCAGGTGAGGAAAGAGATGCCTGCATAGGACAGAACTGGCTCAGCCGCAAATTTTATCTGTTCACTGCAGCTTGTTGGGTCAGTATTTAATGTGTCCAGTAGGGAAGTCGCAGGGAGACAGTGCAGGCTTCGGTTAACCAAACCTTTGACATACAGCTGCAGAACCCCTACGAGCCTCACAGACAAGACCACTAACATAGGCTATAGGACGATTAAGGAAAACCAAAAGAAACTCAAAAAGCAAGGACTCAGGCAACGACAATAGCCATGCAACATATCACTGCAAGCCTGGTACAAACACTGCACCAGAGTCCTGTCCCTTCCTACGACGAGGACCTAATTCAAGCTATAAATGCTCACTAGATAAAAATTGAGGCCAGCACAGCTCGTCATCTGGGCACAAAGCTGTTATTCAGAGTGATTTATGCAGCAGCCAGTATTTAAAGTCTGAAGCATAGTTTTCAGTACCATCTGGCAGGCGGATGTGATGCCTACCTGTCTCACTGGTGCGCGCACATGCTCAGTAATAGCCTCCGTTTCACTGCTCTCTGCACATGCTCAGTAATAGCCTCCGTTTCACTGCTCTCTGCACATGCTCAGTAATAGCCTCCGTTTCACTGCTCTCTGCACGTGGTCAGTAGCATTCCATGTTCTTCCTGATCTGTGAACATGCTCAGTAGCTCCTCCACCCACTTATGCCTGTAGGCATTTGCTCTAGCAAGAGCAGCAATGCATCCTTGTGCCGCTCTTCCATCTCGAGTCATTAAGAATCCATGGGTTCTGGGTTTGACAGTCCAGCTGTTTACTAATTATCATTTTCTATATTTGTAGTAATTTAGGTCATATTGTATTTGGTAAAGCATATAACTTTACTATTATATCAACACATATAAACAGCAAAGGCTTTGACTGCCTTTTGCGATTAGTTTTTTTCATGCACGATAACTAGTGCAGTTGTTATTTATACAATAGCCATTATTTACACCGTTTTAAGTGTTGAGTGTTGCCAGTGGAAGGTCTATTGGCCCACAGAAAATAAGTTATTGATCTTTTCAGTGACAGGTGCCTCCCAAACCTGCCCACAATGCAACTGGCTTTCCCCTGGGAAGAGCACAGCTGCACCATCCCCAACGCCCCGCCACGTTCACTCCCCATCTCCGCTCCACAACAGCATTTCTGTTATATAACTGGCATTGTCACTCAGTGTCTCCTGCTCTACTTCCAGCTGTGGGAGGTGCTCAGTTTTCATTAAATGAGCCGGCCGTCCTCTGAAGCAGCACAACTGCACAAAAAACTCAGGGTGCCCTTTGTACAGCACCAGCACCAGTGTAAAGCCCTCACTAAACTAGCCGATAATAAACTTCCCCATTTTTGACACCTCTACGGCAGTGACAGAGCAGAGAGCTTACAGTTCCCCCGGCAACATGGCCACAATGCTCTGGGTGTAATAGACTTAGTGGTGCTGCCAACACAGTTAAGTCACACACATGCCATCAAGCCTTAGTCACTCTGGCAAGCATGTGGCCCGCTGGCCCTGCTGCCCTGGCATGACTCTATAAAGAGCGAGTCACTAGCTGCTTTCTGCATCTCTATAAGCAGGCCGCAGCCAAAGCCAACAGAGACAGGTCCTCCGCCCCAACAGACTCCGCCCCAACAGACTCCGCCTCCACAGGGATGCTGGCCCGCTGTAATGCCCTCCCTTAAAAATGTGTAACGATTGCATTTCAGCATCAGTCTTATTATTATTACTATTATTATTTTCCAAAAAGTGCAGCTCAAACTCAACCACAGTCCCTCACCTCTAAATGTGAGGGGATTTCGTTGAGTAAATACAAGAAAGAGGAAGAAGAAGCATGAGAAAAGATGAAGGATGCAAGGGGAGGAGTTAGATAAAAAGGGGCAGAAGAAGGAACGAGGCCAGAGGACCTCATGAGCACACTTTACACGCTTTATTTTTTTACACGCTTAGGCAGGCTCACACACGCACACACCAACACACACACGCGGGCACTCGTCAGCGCAGATCGGGGGGGGGTTGAGAGGAGTCCTCAACAGCTAAAGGGTTCCTGCAGGAGTGCGGCCCCCAGCTGCAGGTACGGAGATCACATAAACACAGGGCAACTCGAACCACTGACGCCCTCATACATACACACACAGTGTGGCTAAAAAATGGGATTTTTGCATCTAGTTATCACTGGAGTCTGGAAGAACGCTTTGATAAGTTATTTTTTATCATTTGTTTTGTATCGAGGAAAAAAACAACATGCGTTGACCATTGTTGATTTTGTTTTCCTTCCTTCTGGTATGGAACGGCCTGGAACGGCCTGGAACGGCCTGGAACAGCCTGGAACGGCCTGGAACGGCCTGCTCTGTATACGTCTGTCATTTTTGTTTCATTCCAGTTCAGTTTGTTTCATCTTTTGTGTTTTTTTTTTTGATTCTACTTTGTTGGAGATACACACAGCACCTACGTCACACAAAGACGACAAGGGATCCAGAGAAGGGGAAGAGTCACCATTACTATGCCAGCGACTGGAGACAGAAAGAAAGAGATTGAAAGGGAAAGGAACCCATCAGGGCTCGCTCAGTTACGAGTCCATGTCCCATCCCTTTGTCTCCAGGTCACTCATTAGTGGCATTTGTTTTTTTGTTTTTTTGTTTGTTTTTTTTTGTTTTTTTTGGGCTGTGCCATCTTCATGATACTTTTCTGTTACTTTCTGTTTGTATAGTTAAACAGAGAAAGACACAGATCTAAGGAATGTGAGCAGACATGGGAGCGTGCAAATAGAAGCCTCCCGAACACACACGCGGCGGGGTGGCGGGGAAACGGGGAGAGTAGGGGGCGATGACTCCATAAAAAGGGGACTAAATCAAACTCAGGAAGGGCATCCTTCACCAGCCAATGGTGGCAAGACATGGCAGCAGGTAGGAACAGTAACTCCAGGGACCTGAAGAGAGGCCAAAAGCAGGGTGCCTCACTGTCTTACCACCACAACGTCTTGTGGGGCAGCTGTTTACTTAAACATGATTGTAGTATTAGAGCATTTTACTGTACAAATGGTATTATTGTAAGGGGCTGCCAAGTAAATGGCAAGGATATTTTACAGAGTACAATGTACAAAACAAGATGGGGACACTGAAAAAAAAAACATACTTCCACAACAGTACAAGTACAGCCTGACGATCGGACGACTGGAAACAGCAGAACCATTGGCTGAAGGAGACCTGGAGATGATCCAAAAGACTAAAGATGAGAAGGGAGAGATGAACAAGGAGATGGGATAGAAAGAGAGGAGAGCAGAGAGTCTGAAGGATGGCTAATTGTACCCGTGTTTCGCAGCCTGACTGCGAGTCAGTCTTGTGCATAAGGACAGGGTTAGAGAAACGGGAGCAGGGCACGTAAAGGGCAATGGGGTGATGGGTCAGGGAAGAGGGGGGCATTCAGGCCTTGAGGGCATGCCACTGGGCCACTGCAGTACGTGGGTGTCCCATCATATCCTTCCAATGCTTGACCTCCGCAGGACCACTCTTCCAAGACAGGTAGATCTGATGGAGGAAAAGAAAGAAAGATTCCATAAAAAGCATCCTGCAAATACACCTAAAAAACAGGAGCCACATTTTCAGCACTTTAAGCAGAACCTGTTTCTATTGGAAAAAAAATAATAATTTTTTAGAATTTTTTGCAAATATTCTTTACTCATGACACACATATACACATGAATTCCATTAAGGGATAAACATTTAAAAATAATGCCTGTCTTTTTGTGCTATGATCTATAGTACAATTGTGCTTTAAAAAAAATCAATAAATAAGCTGCAGTTATCCAAGATTGCTGTCACTTAAGTCAGCCTTTTTCAATTGCAAAAGAAGAACTAGCAAAAGTGGAGATGTTTTATTGACTGGCTTTTCTGTATAGCATCAGTCAGCATTGGTTCCACCCCATATAAAAATGTCCATCCATCCATCCATCCATCTCCCAACTCATCCTACTAAGGATGGCAGGGAAGCCTGAAGCCTTTCCCATGCAACACAGGGAACAATTCTGGGTTACACCTTGGATGGAAAGTAATGAAATCCATCAATGTAAAATTCACCAGATTTGCATAGTTCTAGGAAAACACTCAGATCAAAGTAAATCATTGTTTAAATAATTTATGAAGTATGGCAGGTTGTGGAATGAACTTTTGCAGGACAGATGAACAAGACTGCATGATTTAATGAAAGCCAAATTCTTTTAATAATCAATAACCTAGAGAGAGGACTGTGATTCTGCCCAGGGTGTACCCCTGCATTGTGCTCTGTGCTGCCTGAGCTCCAGGCCGACTCACAACCCTGAATCCTACCAGCAGTCAGAAAAATGATAGATAGAAATCAAATTCTAACTGCACCTAACAGGTGCTTTAGTAGTCGTTATACAACAGTTGGACAAGAGGTGTTCTCAGAGTATAATTGCACTTGGACATTTCACATCAGCCGTATCACTGCACTGTATCTAAAAAGCGTTACATATGCCTCATTCCCACCAACACAGAGCTGGTGCTGGGCTGATGCTCGCAGGGGAACTTGCCCGCATTTCCACTGGTTTCAGAAATGAATGTAGGTGGAAATGAAAGTAAAGTAAGGGTTCCTGTGTATTACGTTTTGTTGAACTATTTTGATCTGTTTCGGATTTTAAGCTTTTGTAAGCTGCCAAAACCGTAAAAAAGGTTTCAGAGTATGACTGGTTGCGCCCTGTCTCTACTGCCTGCATCCACTTTTGTCACCTTAAAAGCTCCCCGTCTGTGTGTGTGTTTATTCTTGATTCTTGCTCGTTGTTTTACATTTTAAGGATCGCGCAATAAAAGAGTCTGCTAATAAATGAACTTTGCTGTCTGCCTCATGATCTCTTCAGCACTCGAGCACCATAATATTCTATTTATGAGACCTGCGGCATGGTTTTAATTTACAAGGGAAAGTTATTCCGCTAATAAGCTGCCTAGTTGTTTCACTGCTGGCACTAGCGATATTAGACTAATCTATATCTGTTATGGATTGAATTTTCCGGGTATGCGGAAGGTTTTGGACACGTCCCATTTTCGCTGACGTTAATTTTGCGGTTGTACTCCAATATATAACAATTGTGACAAAATATAACTTAGTACAAAAAATCCTTTAAGAAAGACAACAAAAGGATCAATCCTCCAGCTCCTTCAATGCCCTCAAATCTGCCCTAACCCTAAATAAACCTCACTGAGGTGATCACGGGGATGGAAAACTTATTGTAGTATCTAGGTGTTTTCACTGAGGAGAGTTAAAAGAAAGGACTAGCTAGTACTTTCAACAGTACTACATACTTCTGTGCAGTACCACGTATGACCCCCTTTTGTTTCTCGAATTACTTCAAAGTTTGGCATCCCTTTTGAATTGGATCTTCAAAGATGTCTTTCTGCACACTGTTGTTGAACTGAGCTGTTGTTTTTGCATTCGTGGCCATTCTCCTCTGACCGCTCTCATTAACAAGGTGTTTTCGACAGTAGAACTGCTGCTGACTGGATGTTTTTTGTTTATTGCAATATTCTCAGTAAACTCTAGACACCGTAATAAGTACGAATCCCAGGAGGATGACTATTCCTGAAATCCGGGAACCGCCATGTGTGGCAGCATCACACCACATCTAAAATTACTTGGATCACATGGCTTAGCTGATCTAATACTTAGCCACACAGTAAGCGAACCTCGACCATGCCTTTATGCCGTACATGTGCTGTTGTAGCTATATGATTGTTTGGAGGAATAGGCTGAATGTACAGTGCCTATAGAAAATCATCACACCCTGTCATTTTTTTCCAGCTGTAATTACACATTATGACCCCCAACAGCAAAGTGAAAATAACATTTCAAAAAATTCTGAACAATTTTTATAGTTTAACTAGAAAATATGCTGTCAGAATTACAACAGTGTATTCCTCGGACAGCCCCGTCTCCCCCCTGCATCTAATCCCTACTCATCCCACACACACCCCAAATTCTACAATGTCTAAAATTACTGGATGGATCAATTGCAAATGTGAAAACTAATAAATGTTTTTATCTAAATGGTTTGAGTCTTTGTCATGACACATAACTCTGAAACTCCGAAACCTATTCCTTTATTGCACATTCCACTTACATACCAATTTGCACAATATGTCCCCACCAGTTAGGTGGTTAACTGTATTTCTTAGTGTATGTCTTGAATTAATGTTATGAATTAAGTTATGCTCACACAGGATGGAGTTAAGTGCTCAAATACTATGGGTTTTAGGGTACTTAATTTACTTTGTCAAATCTTTCAAATAATGCATAATATGCCTTCCATTCCTTATTCTGCTAGACCACCCACTTGTCCAAACAAAGTTTCAACCAAGTCTACAGTGGAAATTAGGGGTTATAGTCATCTAATACCTAATATTGTGGATGGTAATAATCAATACAAGTGTACATCATGTAGCCCATATCTTTATAACAATACATAATATGTTTCAAATTGTGGTGTGGTGGTTGGCATTGTTGCCTCGTGCCTCTGGGACCTGAGTTCCATGTGTGTGGAGTTTGCATGTTCTCCCCTGTGTCGCTGTACGGTTTCCCCCCACAGTCCAAGAACATGCTGAGGCTAATTTGAGTTGCCAAATTGCCCATAGGTGTGAATGGTGTGTGAGAGTGTGCCATGTGATGGGTTAGTGCCATGTGATGGGTTAGTGCCCTGCGATGGGTTAGTGCCCTGTGATTGGTTAGTGCCATGTGATGGGTTAGTGCCCTGTATTGGGTTAGTGCCCTGTGATGGGTTAGTGCCCTGTGATGGGTTAGTGCCCTGGGATGGGTCAGTGCCATGTGATGGGTTAGTGCCCTGCGATTGGTTAGTGCCATGTGATGGGTTAGTGCCCTGCGATTGGTTAGTGCCCTGGGATGGGTCAGTGCCTCGTCCTGGGATGTTCTCTGTCTTGTACTCATAGGTTCTGGACACCCTTCAACCCTGAACAGGATATGTGGCTCCAGGAGATGATTGGATAGAAGACTCAGATTCCAAATTTATTCCCCTGCACTTTAAAGGACAAAAACTATTCTTTGTCGTCATTTAGTTACCATTTACATTAAAAAGCATCAGGTAAATTTTTATGAATTTATCTTTTATTTTAATTCGCCAACAACTCATTTACAACTAACATTTGTGCACTTCATAACTATACGGGGGGGAAAGTTTCACAGAATGAAAATTCTGTAGTATAACGAAAATACTGCCATGTTACTGCGCAAGCCTGCACTACACCTCTCCAAAAAAACCCTTAAAGCCCAACTTAAATTAAATTCCCCCAGTATAATTTTGGCGCGGTCCCCACAATTAGTTTCGCTGACTGGCTACCAGGCTGCTACCAATAAAACGTGCCGAGCGGGAATGCTGGCAAGGAAAGAAATTATAAACTTTATTTCAGAATATTCAGAAAATCATATCCTGACCCAAAGTCACTGACCTGTACAATACTCCTGGGAAGTTTGGAAATGCCCCCTTTCCACCTACCACTGCTGTGCCAATTTTGGGGCAATGTGTCTCAAAATTTATACAGATCCAGATCTTCACCCATGCAATGTGTGGGCAAAGTTTGGAAAATATCTAACAAATAATTTTTGACCTATCATGCACAGAATTAAGTGTCTGAGGCTGCCCTTCTCATTGCTATCACTATGTGACACTGCTTCCATTTTGCTGCAATTTGTGTCAAAGTTTGATCAGGTCTAGATCTTCACCCTTACAACATGTCTGCAAAGGTTGACAGAGAGCAGTCAAACAGTTTTTGAACAATGGCAGTAATGGGATCAAGTGTCTGAAACTGCTCTTTTTTGCTATCACTATGAGGGACTGCTTCAATTTTTGGGGCAATCTGTCTCAAAATTAAAGCATTTCCAGTTTGTCACCCAAACAATGTGTTTGCAAAATACTTTCAGAGTTACTGTTCTTTTTAAGCCGTAATAAGATCCATCAAATACGTTATGACATACGACATTCACAAGGTCAAATGTCATCTGCTTTCACCCTTCCCTTTGTTGTCACTAAGCAACATTGCCTCAATTTTGAGGCGATTTGTTGCAAAATTTGACCATTTCCAGTCGTTCACCCATACAATGTGTCTGCAAAGTGGGAGAATGATCCTTCAAAAAATTTTTTAGTTATTATACTAACAGGCATTAAAACTGCCCTTTTCTTTGTTATCACTGTGCAGTGCTGCTTCTGTTTTGGTGCAGTCCATCTCAAAATATGATCAGTTCCACATCCTCACCCAGTGGCAAGTTTGAAAAAGACCGGTCAAATACTTTTTAAGTTCTTGTCCTTACGAGAAAGTTATCAGTCCCCAAGCCATCTGGGGGACTACAGTTAGTGAAATACCTGGTTTAGACAAATTATCACTTCCTTCCAAGTGACCTATACAAACTTGCTCAAGTATCAGATCACCCACCAGGCCGGTTGGAGTCCACCTAACATCAACTGAAGTGGTTTTTATTACTTCATAATTAAACCATCTCTTCCTCGAGGATTCCACTATTAGCAGTGCATGGCAACACAAAGAATTCAACACGGTCGGCTTCCAAAAGCACTTCAGTATAAAGTTGTGGAAAGCACAAGTTAGGAGAAGGATATAAAAAAAAGATTCAAAGGCTTTGACAATCCATCTGAATACCGTTCAGAGCATTATCAAAATGTGGAAAGCAGATGGTACCATCAGTACCTTGCCCAGATCGGGCTGACCGTCTAAACTAGATCAGGAGGATACTGATTTGGGAAGCCACCGAGTAGCCAATGGGAACTTTGAAGGACTTACAAGTCTTTAGGGCTGACATTTGTCAGTCTGTGCATTTGACAACAATCTTTGCACAAAGCTGGCTTGCATGGCAGTGTGGCAAGAAAGAAGCCTTTTCTGAAAAAGTGCCATACTGAGTGTCGTTTACACTATGCAAAAAAAAAAAAAAAAAAACTTGGAAGATTCCAATGCCATGTGGTAAAAGGTTTTATGGTCAGATGAGACTAAGGCTGAACTTTTTGGAATTAACTCCAAGTGCTATGTCTGGCGGAAAAGCAAACACAGCACACCGCCCAAAACAAACTACACCTACTGTGAAGCATGACACTGGCAACATTATGTTGTGGGGGTGTTTCTCTTCAGCAGAGACTGGGCACTTGGTCAGGATTGAAGGGAAAATGGATACTGCCAAGTGCACCCAAAATTTTGAGGAAAATATGTGGCCCTCTGCTAGACAGCAGAAGATGGGAATGTGGTTCAACTTCCAGCAGAATAATGACTCTAAACATGCCTCCAAAACAAACAATATGGTGGCTTAAGGACAGGAAAGTAAAAGTCCTTGAACGGCCAAGTCAAAGCCCAGACCCAAATGTGATCTGTGGATGGACTTGGAGAGCAGTCCTTTGTCACTCACCACATGATTTGACCGAACATGAATCATTATGCAAGGAAGAACGAGCAAATATCAGAAGCTGACACACACGTCGAAATAGCTGACGACTATAATTAAAGTAAGACGTGGCTCTACTAAGTATTAAATCAGGGTACTTATCACTTTTACTGTTTTTCTGGTTTTTTGTTTCTTTTTATACATTTTCAGAACTGTTACCTTTTTTGTTACTTGAATGTTGTAAGACAAAATGTGCAAATAAAGCTGGAAAAAGATGCTTGCAATGGGTTTTGAGGTCAGACTGTACGATGAAAAACAGTCACTCTTTTAAAAGGGGTATGATGATTTTCTATAGGATTTTTTTTCCAGTATGAAAATCGCTACGACAGAATCCTCGGCTACCTTGTTGAACATTGCTCAGTGCTTTCTGCTCAGGAGTATCGTGGTGTCAAGCATCTAGAAACACTGTGATGCAGTATTAGTACCGGTTCCTCAATATAAGCCTCAAATGCAGTGGATAAGTACCTTGCCAATAACGTCATTGCGACTGAGTCGGTCTTTGTCCATGACGGTGATGATAATGGTGGTTTCTCTGAGGACGTGGGCAGGCACATCAAAGGGAAAGGACTCGTTGAACACGGGGTTCAGGCATCGCTTCATCACCACTGTCTTCTTCTTCTCCACACGCTTATCCTTGTGCATGAGCCACACCTTCACATACGGATCTAGGGTAGGGAAGAAGTGAGTATGGCAGACAGCAAAGCTACTTCAGGAATAGCCAGGCAATGGGGTTCTACTCTAACCCTCCTCCCCTTTTGAAATCTTCTGTATTCCCACAGTGAGTGACAGGAGTGATACCTGAGGTGCCCCCGATGTCCATGGCTTTCAGATTACGGGCCTTGATAATGCTCACAGTGATGGTGTTAGCTGTAGGGTTGTAGCACAGGGACAGTAGAAGGTCCCCACGGCTTCCCTGGACAGACACACATAGAAGCTTTATGCTGTGCTCACTCAGGAGTGCTTCTAATCTGCTCATCACCCGTTTCCTCTAAACAAACCTTTATTTTTCCCATGCAAGATTTAAATGGTTTATCGCACCACAGATGAATTAATTTCAGGAACTGCATTGTTTCCATGCAAAAATAGGAAGTGCTAACAGCTAGATTGACCAAAAAAATCTTGGTTTTCTTAAGGTTTCAAAACTGTAGCATCAAAAGAGCAGTCAGGCAATACCACACTGGGATATAAATGTGCATTATTTCTCCACAAGCCCCCATCCTTCCAGACTTACGCTCCCGTCACTGCAAGGTTTCAGGTCCTTCCAGAACGTCGGCATGTGACCCAAGTCCACCTTGTTGAGAGGGAGAGACACCTCTCCAATTGGGTCATTGCGGCTGAAGCGGTCATAGTCCAGCACCTGCAAGTAGAGGGTCCGCTGGACCACCTTTTCATATGGGAACCCTGTAAGACGGAGACATAACAGTTCAGATCCAGCAGCTAATTATCATTTGCATAAAACATAATTTTTCAAAAACAGATCTTAAAAGTAAGCAGTTCAACAACGACAAACATTTGTTTAGGAGACGTTTAATAAGTGCCCTGCAGCAGTTCATTTTTATGAAGCTACAAAGACAAACAAGACATTCATGCAAAAACCACAAGAAAAACAGAAACATACCCTAAACAAAAACAATATAGCAAGGCAATTACTGCGAGGGTCCAAATAGAGGCAGCTGAGAAAAATGAGAGGCAACTCCGTCTCCACACTGACCTTCAAACAGGAATGTTTCATTCCAGTGTGGGTTTAGGTTCTTCCTCTTCACCTTGGTCTCCAGTTTGTGTTTCTTGTCGGGAAGAAGATAGATCTTCACAAAGGGGTCAGAAGTGCCAGAAAAGTCCTTAGCGGGCAGATCCTGTCCCTTGAGGATCTTGACGGTGAGAGTAGAGTCCTGGAAGCTATAGCCCACGCTGAACTGAATACGACCCAGTTTCTCACTGATAGGGCCCTCGTGGTCATCTTCCTCTGAGCCAGGGGACAGCTGGAAGGAAATCACTGATAATGGGACACTCCACTGCACTGATGCACAGTGACAAAAACACACCTAAACTACAACAGAGCAATCAAGCAAACAGCACCACTATGTGTAAGGAATTCAACTTGAAATCTACGGATGAAGATATGTTTGTGTATTAGGATGTCATGCTCTTAAGTGAAGCCATTTGCCACACTGCTTTATAACCTAGACTTTGTCTTCTAAACCCAGATGCCGATCTAAAGCAGGAATAGCTCATTTGGAACATTGTGGCCCAGCCAAGAGCGAGTCATCATTCTGTGCGTGCTTTCTGAATTTTCTTGCAAGAGAGAGCAGGAAGCGAACTGAGATGTCTTTATGTCATTAGGCAGATTGGTGGCGTTTCATTTGTCGGCTAATGTTTTAAGAGGCAGGAGGTGCTCAGATGGCAGATAGAGTGCCTTGCCTACTCGCCCTCTCCTCCACTTTATCACTTAGCCCAGGGAGAGTGATAGCAATCCGCTTAAAAGGCTGCTATCTGATGGAGAGAGCAAGGGAGAGAGAACGAGAGAAATGCAGAAAGAGAGAGAGACCAAAGGCACGGCCCAATGTTGACTTCTTGGACTGGACCCTTATTATCCCTCCCTGGTATTCCTGCCATATTTCTTTCAGTCACTTCTACTCTCCTTGTCTATCACCCTCTCACACTTTAAAGGAATGGCAGAGGGACATAATCACCTCAAGCACCAGAACTTCCCATTCATCACTTCAATCCTTTTTAATGGTGAAGCCTTACTGGTTATGTACAACATGCATGCGCAGGGTCAATGAGGTAAGACGTCAATTTATAACTATGTCTAAGGGTTAAGCTGGGAACTAGGTGAGCTCTCACCTTAAGCATGTCAATAAATGGGTTAAGTGGTATAATGAGCAAGATTTTACCTTAGTATCAGAATGAGGTGTAAGCTACACATCAATCAATGTCTGACCTTAATAATATCAGTCTAGGTTCAAGGACGTATGTTTGGTTTTAACACTGGTTAAATCAGCCCTGAACCCCTCCCCCTCCATGCCCTCATAGCCTCATCTACACCCTTACTGTGGGTTAATCTATGGAGTGAGCAGGACTTGACATTCACTGTCAGTCAGTGGGTTAAACTGCATGTAAGGCAAGATTCAACCTCGAGAAATGTCAATCACAGTGTTGATCTGCAAAGGACGCAATATTTGATTGCGACAGTTTTAGTCTGTGGGCTGGCCTACTGTCTGACCAAGAATTGACCTTAATAATGTCAGTTTGCAAGCAGAGCTGCACACTGAATAAGATTTGACCTCAGCAACAAGGGTTTGTGGGTTCAGATGAACACTGAGCGCGAATCAGAAGTAACAATTTGAGATTTCACCTTTACAGTCTCAGTCGGCAGGTTGAGCTGTGCATTCATTGAGATTTGATCTTTGTGATGTCAGTCAGTGTGTTGAGTACTGAGTATGACTGGATCCTAATGATAATTCACATGCTGGACCACATGCTGATGCAGCAGAGGCCGAATTCCAGTATAGATACTTGCAATGCAGTTAATTCGCCCACACATATATCATGGTTACAATATACACCCACACACTCCCACAGATGACTGAACATGCACAAGCTCACATATACATGGTATTGCATAACATAAGTAAATACAATACTCATATGTCCTCCCCAAAACTTTGGAAGCTCACATGACTTCATTAAATAACATCCATCATTACTTGTTCTATGCAAGATCACAGGGATCCACAGTCTCAAAAGCAATGGGCACAAGGCAGGAAATAACCTAAGACAGGGTGGCAACCCAACAGAAGGCACTCAAACTTATGGATAACTTTACAACTTCAATTAACCTTAACATGTTTAGATGGTGAGGGGATCAGAAACTGAAACCCTGATCTCCAGCATTGTGAGGCAACCGTGCTGAGCATAGCACCACTGTGTGTTAACTCGCACTGATTAATCAACAGCTATTCAAACTTTTCACGATAAACCAGTCGTGCATCATTTGTATTAGCGAAGATAAATTTTCAAGACGAGTACAAGTCAAGAAAATTGTAACAAGTCAGATTTTATTAACATCTTAAGACTTTTGTTTGATAATTCAGGTTACACTGACAGCATTTGATATAATGAGTTCAGAAGCACCATCTCTTTTTAGTGTTATTATTGTTAACCTTTTATCACGTTTTTGAGTAATTCAAGATCTCTATGATGCAACAGCAAGTCCTAATTATGTGTCTCCAGGAAACTGTGCTGTTCTAATAGAGAATACTGAAGCTCCATCTTTTTTCCCAGATAATTTTATTTTAATAAGAGATATTTGATTATATTCTGGCTGGCTTAGCAGCAGTAGGGGCAGTCAGTTACAGAGACTCAAACTCAAAGCAGCACATCACAACCTCATATTTCGGGCAGCCGATCACAGAACCTTATGCTTTGGCAAAATTCTTCAGCATCCCCATTCTGCGCTAAAGAGCCAGGGCAACGACCTATAAGCACACAGATAAGATGAATCGAGAGTATACTAGAGGTAACAATATATTTTGGTTACCTTGTTTTAAAATACTCCTTAAAGACACATTCAGTGTAGCCTCAAATTATAATACACTGTTTTGAATAAGGACTGGACTGATGCTAGATAGGTTGATTATTCATTTAACTGGCTAAAATAAACGAGGTCAAGAAAGCGGAAACTGGTCTTGGCTCTGAAAAGCAGTGCATTCCCCAGAATTTGGCCTTTTTATCCAGCTAGTTGGTCTTTGCGGACACACCTAATTTGGAGCTGTTTTAGACAGTATCATTACCTTTTCAAATGTAGTAACAAATTAGAGATCTTCAGCGTGTGTGGGTTATTCGTAATTACACTCTGCTATTCAGCTGCATGACAAAACGTGTCGTGCTCTTTCCACAGTGCCGTTCTGTTAATGATAAGGTGCATTGGCATCCAGTGTTTGCCAGCTCAGAGAGTTACCCTGGTTGTGACTCTTGGCATCCTCAGAAAGACTCTGTCATTACCCACCCACAGAATCCCGTGTCTTATGCATTGCAATGGCTGGCTGACGGCTCAGATCATTGCTGTACATGAGGAGTAGTGACCGTGTCTTACCATAAGCATCTCGCTGGTCAAAGAGTTGGCCAAGTCGGACACAGAAGAGTGGCCATCAGTACGGCGGTCAGTGTCATCGGGAGGCTGGCCCTTAGGGCTGTTGCTAGGCCTGTTGCCACTAGCCCTGTGGAGACAGACCATGGCATCACTGGATGCAGCTGGGTGAGGTGTCACATCTCAGAAGGGGACGGAGGTTGCCCAAGTGCTTCGAAAATCCCAGTGTATTCGCTATTAGAGGCCCCGTACCTGGTTAAAGCACACGAACACTCAGGTAGACACTGTGACATTGAGACTTTTCCCTGACAGCTGAACATTGAATCTGAATAAACACAGGACCTGGGCTCAAGGTATTTCTTTGATGTGACGAATCCTTTAGTATACTGATTACGAAGGTTTATTTATGATTCATTTGATTTTGTCCACTGCAAATCTAAAAAGCTCTGGGCATGTCTTGTTCACACGCACACACACACACACACACACGCACAAACAGAGACTCACACACGCACATGCACAGACATACTCTTTTGAAGTGCAGCTTCACTGAGCTTGGCCAGATCGGCGTAAGACAGTGATGATGCAGAGGGCCAGCATGGAATAGGTGCTGCTCCGGTCAAGGGGTTTCAGCATGACCCACCGTTTTACATGAGGATCCAGCGGGACCCTTTCCAAAATACCGCTACAGTGCTTCAGAGCAGCCCGGAGATGTGATAATAGTGCCGAGCTGACGGTTAGCAGGAAGGGTAACTCTGCCACCTGTCTAAGGATGATCTGGCCGCGCTCATAGCAGGTCATCAATGTCTCTGGCTCAAGCCAAACTGCAGCAATATAATAATTCAGTCAACAGATGGATGCCCGAGGAAACGATACAGAACTAATGAATGTGTGAATGGGCCGGAACCAGTCTAGTGAAGTTGAAGAGCAACATTCACACACAAGTGGACACAGGTAAGGCAGGAAGCTGTGCCCTTTTGCCCAGCCTGAGGCTATCCTGAGAAAGAGACGTAGCAGTATAGACCTCAGCAGATGGCCAAACGCAGCACAGCAACAACTGAGGTTTTTGTCTAAGCATGTATGTGTGCAAATCTGAATGCATATGAGCGTGAATGTGACTGGGTCTCTACAAACCTAGTGTTAGAACACAGTCTGCTAAAGCAACAAGACCCAACGAAAGAGAGACCGAAGTCTTTGTGAAGGAGAGGAGCAGACGTGGCACAGAACACGGCGGCATTCAAAGGCGACATCAGAATCCCTGTGAGACCACTATTCACATTGCAACCCTACGCAACAACAACCCAGATTCCGGTCCCAGTGAAGAAAGCAAAGGACACACAGTACTCCAGTGCAGACTGGTCAAGGCACGTCCAGAGGCAAGACATTGATGAGCTGTTAGGCATTGAGACACAGCCAGAAAGGAGGCAGATGAAGCATACATTCAGTGGAAGAGGCACACAGAACATACATGGAAGGTGCTGTGCAGAAGGGGGGTAAAGAATAGGGGTAACATTCGTCTGTGTTAAGAGGAGAGGCCATATGTTAATAGCATGAACAAAGTGAGGTTACAGAATCAAACAAAACGAGAGTGAGACATTGACAGACACCACTGCTTTTTATTGAGCTGCAAGAAAGAAAAAGGAGAAAGGGAAAGCCTGAAAACACAAGAGAGGCTTAGTTTGGTCAGTTTGGAGCAGATAACGGAAAGGAAAGGAAACCAACAAGGACATACACGTTACACAGAGGGGGAGGGAGCAAGTTAAACATAGATGCTCAGGGGAATTGGGGGAGGGGGGGGGATACAGGGGCAGGAGGAAAACAATAAAAAACCCCACATAAAGATTAGTGGCCAAAAAGAAACAGACAAGGAGTAAAGCGCTTCTTTAGAGCAAGAGAGATGGTAGAAGGGAGAGAGAGACAGATTAGAGAGACCCACAACCAAACGTGTATTAACACACAGGAAAAGGAGAGAGAACAGAGTGTTAGGGGGTTCATACATATGTAAGTATATATAAGAACTCTACCTAAGAGTATACTACTTCAAAAGAGGGATGCGTGTTGTATAAGACATAGGTCTTTCATACCCAGCACTCAGCATGCATTTAGGCCAGGTTTGACACCGGTGTAGAGAATCACATGCTGGTGTCAATGAAAGACCATACTACATCCAAATTTGAGAGAGTAACCTTACTATTCACTAGGCAAGTGGTGAGAAACATCAGAAAGATTGCAGTGTCACCATTTTAGGGGCAAGAGGCTGCACCCTAACATGACCGCAGCCCTTCTGCCGTATTTGTGCCCTGCAGTCTGTGTGACGTACACCGCAGTGCACTTGCATGAAAAGGTAGCTTGTATAAATTTTCAGTCAGTAGACTTACTCTGTGAGAAGGAATGCATGTATAGGGAAGGGAAGGCTCTGTCGACTGTGTCTAGCTTGTTAGTTATGAGTATCGTGAGCAGGAATCATACCTGCTTACACAGAGGTTTTGGGAACTGTTAGCGTTCTGGAGGGCTGGGACTGTGCTTTGGCATTACAGTTAATGACAGACCCCAATGTATAATGCTATAAATAAAGGAGTCTGAGAAAAGCAAGAACTAAAGACCCTCTTAGGATGAAGCCCTGCATCAGTCGCACACAGTTAATTTCAATAAGGTGTAATAAACCTAAATGTGTATCATGTGTTGTCTGTGCAGAATAGTTAAAATTTGGGGCTAAAGTTTAAAAGAGAGTGAGTGAATACTTCTACAGAAAAGTACAATAAACAACAAATAGCAAACAATGCACTCCATCTAGTAGGAAAACAAAGGTACCCAGATCAAAGAACAGACAAACAGACAGGCAGACAGACAGGCAGCAAAGGGCAAGCGAAGCAAGTAAGGCAGACAGACAAAAGAACAACTACGTGGTTACTGGTAAGTTTTCTGAAGGGGAAGGGACTATGCCACAGCTGCACTTGGTTGGGTTCCACAAATACACGGGAGTCACATTCCTTTGGATCAATGTGATCTTAGCAGCCCACTAGATCCATCCACACACTGAACTGCAGGCTCATGCATGCTACCAGCACCGTGACCGTCCTGCCGTAGGAACGGACTGCTTCAGGCAAAGGAGGAGGGCAAGCAACACTACACCTCAGCACACATAATCAATCCCTGCTTTGTGCTTCATTCAGGAGGAGCCTTCATCCACCCGAAAACCCCATAAGTTGACTAGAACACGGGGAGCAGGCTGCTACAAGGCAGGCTGACAGGAAAGCATGCTAACCAGATCTGTACATGTCTGCTATCTACAAACAGGTTTAATACCTGCTAATTGATTTACAAGGATGGTGGATTTCACAACGCTTACAATAAAGCTTAGCATTTCATAATAGGTAAGGCTCAGAAGTACAAAAGCCCAAGGGCAAAACTTGTGGAAGGTCAGAGCAAAAATTCATGAATTATTAATCAAAATTGTATCTCCAGACCCAAAAGTCCTGTTGCATCCTTTTTCAGACTAAGCATCCACTGTGCAAAGGAAAATCTGGCACCAATACCGCAGCAGAAAAGTGAGCAATCTGTAAATGATGTTCAACCTGCAGGGTCGTATAGCAGCCAGCAGGGAGCAGACTGGGCAATTGTACTGACAGGAGAGCCCAATGCTCCCACAGCACCATCAAAGAAAGTGGGCTGTCGACATGGCAACGGCTCGAGAAACACAGAGAGCCAGGGATGGCTTTGGTGGGGGGGCAGGAGAAGAGGAAAGGGGAGAGGGCAGCAAACAGGCAGGCACATTAAAAACAAGGCAGACATGGCAGGATATATGACAGGTACAGGTGAGAGCCTCGCTGATAGATACACACACCCACTGATATGCGCGCACACGCACAGAGACAGACACACAGAGGCGCGGGGCAATTTGGGTTTCACCGTGACCTGTGATACTATCCTTTTTTGTTACCTGACCCAGGACGATCTGCTTGAAGAAGGGGAGGGGGGCAGACACTCCGCTTCAGGGCTGGAGAGAAACGCGAGAGAGACAGCCTCCCCCCCCACCCCAACATTCACCCTGAACCCCAGCAGCACCCAACATTCAGGCATGCACATACATACCCTTTCACCGTTATATTCACACTGCAGGTTCTTGGCCTAGCTGATCCACTACAGGGCTGCCCCACCCCAGGGCAGAGACATATTGCACAGTGGAAAACACCACAGAAGAGTACTCCTTACATAACCAGTAAAGAATGAAATAAGCCATAAGCACATCATACCATTTCACCAGCAACTCTAACTGATTCTATTATGCCTCTGTAGTCTCATTTAGCTCCAGGTTAGCCGCCCTCAGTCCTATTGTGCTGAAGGTCACACTGTAATAGGCTGTTTTATATAAGCAATCAACAGGCAGGGCTATGCTCGAGGTGTCTGCTGATTAACACAAAGGCAACTCACGTGCAACGCAAGCTTTTTTAAAATTTGGCGAGTGGTTTCCCTTCAGTAGAGCTCAGTGGACACTGAGCGGAGACCCCCACAGCTCCTAACTCTGGGTCTCCCTCCACAGAGAAGCAGCCGGCCGACTGTCTGAGCGCTGATCTGTAAATGCGACGACTTCCGCTCTTTACTACGGCCAAACCCCTTTGCTTGCGATTGCCCCTCCAGGCAGGCCACTGGCTCAGGCTGAATGCTAGCGTGTACGGGGGACAACAAGCTGCTCACATCACCCCTCCCCCACCGAACAACTGCCTGCAGTCCCACTGGAGTGACTGTGAATGATTATAGTATGTTTGACAATATCGATAAAAACATTAAACCATCATGACACCCTCCTGGACTGCTACAGGTCCAGGCCAACAGGTGCAGTACTATCCAGACACTGGGATGGTAAAATCCTGATTTATCCATAAACACACCCAAAACATTCTTGCTTCTAACAATACTAGTTAGTGTGGAGATTGATCTCTCTCATTATTGCAATTTTGAACCCATTAAGAGAACTAGAAATGAGTACATACTGAGTTTACTTTTTTTCAAACTCCTCAGCTGATCAGGTCTTTTATTCTGCTTTCTTTGTCTCTTTGTCATTCCTACCCGTTCCATCTATAATTTAACTCACCCTTTCGATTAAACAGTAAACGGCAATTATATCCCTGA